GATGAATTGGATACCAAGGAAGAAAGCGCAAATCAATCTACACAACTGGAAGCATTGGATCAGTCCCCACGGTCCAATAATAATCCTTTACAGATTCAAATTTTACTACTTACAGACACCTCTACAAAAACCCACAACTTCCCTACAATCCCCAGTAAAATTTGGATCCACAACATCTACAAATATTTGGAAATTGAGATCTTCAACAAGCAACTATTTAAGCCTCACTTGGACCAGTTTAGAATTTTCTGGATCAATGACAACACTTCTCAACACCTGGCGCTCAAGGATACGGAACCTGAAGAAATAAAGGGAATACATAATAGTACTTACGTCTCATTAGCATCTGAAAATTTCAAAACAACGGTCTCAACTATGCTCAGTCAACCAGTTATGTTAATGCTTTCAACCACACCAATTCCGGAAGAAGTCTTTTCAATTCTGACACCGCCGGATCCACCAGATTTTACAACAACATTTCTTAGTCCACAGAAGGAAGAGCACCAGAAACCTAAACAATCATTTGAATTATCAATCAACAATCTGGCTCCACCTGAATTACCAAGGGAATTATTTCTTCTATTTTATTTAATTCAGAAGCTCCTTTCTCAGCTACCTATATCTATTCCGCCAGACCCTCTTCAAAAATCTTACGGAAATGTCAAGCTCCCAAGGCTACTGGTTGGAGTTGGTTAAAAAGTCAAAGAAAATTCTTTTCAAATTTTTCTGTTCAATTCAAGAAGAATATATCAGCATTCAAGAATACAACATCAGAATATTTTATTAAGTTGGGGGAGGAACTCACTCTTTTATCCATCTCTTCCAACCTTCCTTCTTCCCTTTCAAATTCCACAACCTTATATTTACCACTTTAAAAAAAAAAAACCTTATAAAAAATAGGCCTCCTCCTGGGCATGAGACTAAACTGTTCACAACACAAAAATCAAAGTACAAAATATCAGTTTATCTTTCTTCAACATCAGAGAGAATGATTTCTTTCAAGTTGGGGGAGGAATCACATCTTTACATACTTCACTCTTTATCACCATCCTCCTTCAGCCTAATTCTTTTTTTTTATCCAACAACTTCACCCCTTATATCAACCATCTAGCTGTCTTCCCTTTTCTCTTCTTTCTCCTTTTCCCTCCTTTCTCACCTTCATTCCCATCACCCCATTTTGACAAATCTTCAATTCTTACCCAAGACACTCCTTTAATAATCCCCAAATCCCCTCTATTTCTTTTTTTCTTTTACCTCTGATTTCATTATCCCTCATATTTTTTTTTACCTTACTCCCTCACTCTACTCACTGGATTACTCACTTGAAGGTTGGGGACAACCTGCATAGTTGGGGGAGGGGTGATGCATTTCTATTGTTCACTATTTAAAATTTTCAGTTTTTTATTACATCTAAAAAGTGCTTGAACTACTGAACTAGCCTCCCCACAGACAGCAGGAAACACTCACCAAACACCTTGGCCGACTGTTGCTTTTATCTGGTCAATCTGAAATTGATTCTTGTTGGGGGGTTCCCAATCAATCGATGTTGAAGAGGACGACAATAGATGGAGCAATTCCATTTCAATAGGCCGGGACCCAATTAGAGACCTCTTGAGGCGGGATCGATACCGACACCATCAGCTCTATACTGTTTTAAGCAATTGTCAATTCCAAAACACAGGCCTAGAGATGATAGAAATAGGAAAAGCTCGGCCATGAGACGGACGTACGATTTGACGGCAACCACTTTTGCTTGAAATGACATTGGCTGCTATCCATTTCCGATTGATACTCTCAGAAAGTCACTTGGGGAATTGTGGAGATAGTTTGAGCACGGTTCTAGATCGATTGACTGCGGCTCAAGACCCAAAACGATGTACCATTCACTGAGAGTTGATTGGTTATAGCTGATAATAAGAACACCTCCTACACACAACAGGTTGAAGTCAAAGTGGATATTAGATAATCAGCGAGTTAAGAAGATCAATGGCGGGCGGAAGCCTTTCTTTTATAGCCGAGATAGTGCACAGCAATGACCGAGGAGAAAAAAAGCTCACCTAAAGCTCAAAGACGACCTTGCGACGCGCTACACCCGCCTCAAGCCAATCCTAGCCAAACATTGTGCTTGGTTCGGCGAATACAAGAAAATTCAAGCGATCCGATTAGTCCTGACCAATAGAAAGGCAGGACTCAGCTTTATAGAACTTTTTGGAAGAAAAATAAATCACTCACCTGTCAAGGCATGGAAAATCCGATCGACGATGCTGGAAGAAGTTGGAAGTCGGAGTCGGTCGAGGATGTCGTCGGCTGTTTTCGGTATTGACCGGAATCGAAATCGGCACCGGATGACTGAATGCTTCTGAGCTCAAAACCGGACCGCAATGACGCACAAGGAACAAAGTACGGCGGCACCGCGCTCTCCGCTGCGGCCGCAGATTTCTCTCTACCTCGCGCGACCTCCGAACCAAAACTCGACCCCCGAAACGGTCAGAAACCCTTTGGGCCCCTCCCAAGGGGCTTTTCCACCTAATTCAGCAGCCACAGCAACTCTACAATGACAGTGCGGTCATCCAGAGGTCCAATGATGCGCAGCTGCGCACAGCGCACAGCAAAAATTAAAAATTGTATGTAGAAAGATAAAAATAAAGCTGAATAAAAATAAAATAAAATAAAAATGCCCCCCACCTGTGCACTTTGAGCATAAGGGGGGTACACAGGGACCCTGAGGCTAACATTTACAGGTGAAACCCTGTTAAATCAAATGTAAAAAATTAAGTTTAAGGTTAAAAATCACAAATACGGCCAACACAGCTTGGCTTCACTGCAAAGTTGGGGGAGGCTATCACAGTCTTTTTTTCAGCCCCACTCATTTTTCCCCGCCTTTTTCCTCCAAATACCCACTACCCTTTTCACTTCATTTCATGTTTAAAAATTAACTCTTTTTCTATTTTCTTCCCATTTTTCCTGGTAAATTGTCTGGGGACAGACAATAAGTTGGGGGAGGCTGTGGTAGTCAAAAATGTGAAAATTCAAAGTTTTTTTCTTTATTTTCTTATATATATATTTCTTCATATTATCACCCAATCTCTCTCAGAAATCACACCATACGGCTCAAGAACTGGACTCTACGGATAAATTCACCCTTGGTCACCACGGAGGCGTCACTGGAACACACCTGGATCAACTCTTACCCAACAATGGACAACATATCACAAGGATTTCACCCAACAATTAAATGTCACCAATTCCAATTACAAACCTCAAGCTACAGACACCCTCAGTACAGTACAACCCCACATTTACATCTACACTCCTTACATTTCACTTCTACATAGTATATTACATCATACCTGCAGCCTAAATTAGTGTATTTTCTCTACGGATGACAGCTGCAGCTTACACCACCACACTCACTTGTAAACACATCAGAGCCTGACCAATCAGAATCACTCATTCATCTGTTTGGATCACACTTCAACTATTGTACATGTCTGACCAATCACATTCACTCATTCAAATTATGTATGTAGCTAAAATACCTCATGTAATAGCCCAGGCCAGCCAAAATCACTCATTACTGGCTGCCCTGGAGCTAAATTCCCTCACTATTTTCTATATAAGGAGGCTCTCCTCCCATTTGTTGTCTCCGCAGTGTATTATTCACAAGTCACAGTTTAGTACCACTCAATCAAAGAGATACCACCTTTACATAACCTTACCAAACACCAATAACAACTAAACTCATTTCTCAGCATCACACAAACTCATTCCTGAACTTACCCTATCACTTGATTAAAACTTGCCAAGCTGAGCTTGGTGGGTCTTGTTATCTGATAGTATAGAAGGGCAGAGCTTGCACCTCCACCATCCCCTTCTCCATTCAGCAAAAAGGGTCTTACAACCACTTTTTGAGTCTTACAACGTTGGTATGTGACATGCCAGCTTCAACCATCCCAGCCACCCCAGCTTACTTCTTGGTGGTGAGGTTTGGTTGGCTACGTGAACAACCCATCAACAAGCTTGCTGGAGCAGGTGGAATCCTGCTCATCAAAAAAAAAAAAAAAAAAAAAAAAAAAAAAAATCAGATGATTATTGTCCGAGGCAGACAGAACAATACTCAATATGCTTTTTGAGCTGAGGAGGTTGCTGCTTGTCAAACTGAGTAGGTTGCTCATTTCCTTTGTTGTGAAATCATTTTGTTTCCTTTGTTGTGAACCCTGGTCACCAAAAAAAAAAAGAAAAAAAAAGATCAGATTACAACAATCAGATCATTATCATGCAAGGAAAAGACAGAACAATACTTACTACGCTTGCCGAGCTGAGTGAGCGCTGTAAGACTCAAAAGTGGTTGTGAGAACCCTTTAGCTGCATGGAGAAGGGTATGGTGGAGTTGAAAACTCTGCCCTTCTATACTATCAGATAACAAGACCCACCAAGCTTAGCTTGGCAAGTTTTAATCAAGTCATAGGGGTGGTTGGTTCAAGATTTTTTTGTTTGATCACAGTTTAATGATGAAAGAATTGAGTTTCTGAGATTATGAGGGTGAGTTTAGTGTGTATTACAAGTGAATTATAAGGTGTTATAGGGGTTGTTAGGTTGTTACAGTGTGTAATGTTGATGGTATGGTATGTAATGGTAGGGGGTATGTGATGTGTGGGTACTAAACTGAGGGGAAAAATAAATGGGAGGAGAGCCTCCTTAAATAGACAAAAATGAGTGACTTTGGCTCCAAGGGAGCAAGAGGATGAGAGGTTTTAGCTGGTCAGAAATTAGAGCTAGGGTTGACGGCGCCACATTTGAAAATGTGCGCGCCAGTGGGTGCCTACAAGCCTACCATCAAGTGCGCGCCTTTGGCAGGCGCAGTAGCGGCGAGCCTAGGCAAGGTTTTTTTTAAATGAAAAGAATATATAGGTTGTATCCTGTTGTATTTCGATTGTTGTTAGGCTATTTGAAAGTGAAGATTGAAGAGGGAAATACAACAGAGTGAAACAACTGAGAAGTCACAGATCTTGTGGATCCCAGTTGGTTTCCTCGGGGTCATTTTCAACATTGACGATTTCGATTTTGTTGCTCATATCGATGGATTTCTGAGCATCCAACTCCCATAAGTCAAAGTTGAACAGGGTGTTGGTAAAGGCATCCTCTCTTGAGGTGAGAGGAGCATCAACATCTTGATTGTGTGAAAATATCCCCTCTTCAAAGTTGTCGAGCTTGGAAGGATTGATAAAGCTGTCGTAAGCCTTCATGTTTTCATATTTGGACTCCGGAGTCGTCTCTTAATACTTATTGTATAAGAAGTTGCAGGTTTAATGAGAGTTGTATTTGGAATTGGCAGTACCAATCTGAATACAACCCTAAAGCCTCAAGACTTCTTTTCGCACTCATATGTGTCAAAAAAGCTACATAGAGACTCAGAACTCAGCTGTCAGCCTGTCAGAGAGAGTAGCAAAGCAATGGCATAGCTTAAGGAGCTTTCAGGGTTGCCCTTTCAAACTCGGAAAGTCACTTGGCCTCCAGCCCTCCCCCTCTAAAAATTAGGGTTAGAAGTGCGTGCACACCCCCCTTTTCTGGAAAAATGTGCACGCCTTGGGTGAGGGTGCGAGGCGCCCGCACATCGGTGTGGTAACCCATACCTTTCCATATCATCTATTATTTTACTGTACATTCACTGGGAATTGTTATAATATTACTACAGAATCAGATTCTACACCCCTTTTTACCTATAGCAACGGTGGGCCGCTACGCTACACTACGCTATTTGGCCACTACATGTTAGCGTAGTGGCTTTTTTTTTTTCTGGAAATCCTGTAGTGTTAGTTCACGCTACACATCGCTGAGCTAACTGCCAGCGTAGCGTGAATTTTTTCCCTCAAATTTTTTTTAGTGTTAGCTTGAAATAATTGCCGCTAAACTAACCGGTAGTGTAACTTTTTCCACGCTAACAAAATTTCCGCTAACCAACAGCGTAACTGTTGGTGCAGCTAACATGTAGCGTAACTAATCCCCAGTTACGCTAAACTACACTACACTACATATACAGTTACACTACAAAGTGTAGCGTAACTGCAGCTGTAGTGTAGCGTAACTACCTGATAACCATTGAGCGTGTCATGTGGGAATTGAACCCGTGACACAAAAGTGTAGCGCTGGCATGTGGTCTGGGAAGAATTCTTATGCTCCTCCCTGACCACATGACTAGCGCTACCCTGATTGAACTGTCTGTTCAGGGGTATAGATCTTGAGAACTAGCCATTATCTTTTGGATTTTCTTTTGGGAGGGGGGGGGGCTGGCCTCCACGTGACCATTTCTTTGCCACCCCTCAAATTTTTTTCCGGCCGCTCCCATCCA